TTAAAACCTAGTTCATAAACTGAAAAATTGAAAATGGAAGATTACACACGCAAGTGTCCATTCAGTGCTAAAAACATGTTCAAATGTTACTCTTTAGTACTACAGTTATTTAATTATTATAACCATTGTATTCATTAATCAATAAATCTCAAAAAGTGAGATTGAGAAAATATGCGCGATATGATGAATTTAGAAAGGTAAAAAACATTAGAATTTACTCTTTAGTACTACAGTTATTTAATTATTATAACCATTGTATTCATTAATCAATAAATCTCAAAAAGTGAGATTGAGAAAACATGCGCGATATGATGAATTTAGAAAGGTAAAAAACATTAGAATTTTCAGTTCCTTCATATTATTTTCCTCACCGCGGAGTGCACAAAGAAAATTCAACAAGAAAACTTAACTCTTTCGCATCGAAGCCGCCCGTAACGCCCGTTCATTCAGGCAATGGCAAACCGCCCCAACGCCTCATTTATTTTCTACCTAGTTCTTTCCCCTCCACATAGTGTATGGCTCATTGGTTTTGCGAGTTGTTAAAAGACATGTCAATCATTCTTTTGAAGCAAATAAAGGAGAAATACGGAAAGCTATTGACGTTTGCAGGTACAATGATGTTCGCAGGTGCAATCCGGCCCTAAGGTGAAACTGCACACAATGGAAGAAACCGCAGAAAAACCTCCAAGAGCAGCAAGGGGGAAAGGAAAACTATTCCAAGACAAATTCGTAAACACGGGCATTTTCGATGTTTGTTGAAAACAGATTTGGTCGTCTCTCGATGCGAAAGAGTTAAGACTCGTCTTCAATGCCTCGAGTAAACAAAAAGGTAGCACCTCTTTAAATGATTGTTTAGAAAAAGGAGAAAATACCATTGCATTAATACCTGAAGTTATTCTTAAGTTCAAGAGAAAAGAAAATAGTATTGACTGCTGACATAAAGAAGTCATTCTTGCAAATTTCCATTTGTAAAGAAGACAGAAATCATCTTCGTTTTCTATGGTGAGAAGATGCCAAAAGTAAAAAGCTTTAAGTTTTTAGACATAAAAAAGTGGTTTTTGGAGTAACCTGCAGCCCTTTCATTCTTGGAGCTGTTACCCAATATGATCCTGAGAATTAAAACACAAAGGCAAAGGGGCCCACCAGCAGCTGAGCGGTCACAAAGCCAAAGTCGCTGAACACTGGTAGTTCAGTCCGAGGTTCGAATCCCGCGAACGGGCTGGCTGCATGGGAGTTTTCGTGGTTTTCCCATGTGTAACATGTATACGAGCCAATTTCCCTTAGAAAGTCCTCCAAGAAGGCATCCCTCCCCTTAGGCAGATAGCCCTAGTGTGCTTTGCCATAATTAAATACACACCACCACAAAGCTAAAGATATTGCTGAAAAATTAAGAAAATAATCTTTTGTTGATAACTGCATCACTTTCGTCGACTTAGAGGATGAAATGCATAAATTTGTCAGTGTTTACAGAGTTGACGGCCAAAACCAAATTCAAATTGAGAGGGTAGGAGTGTACCAACTGTAACAGGCCAGAAATTTTAGTTGAACCAGCCTGTCTTGGATCTATTTTGTGATCGCTATTGAGATTTCTTACTTTTTAATGCCAAAGCAGTAACTAGCATTCGCCCCCCGAAAAAAAGGTAACTAGAAGAATTTTGTTCTCATTGGCTCAGCAAGTTTTCGATCCCACTGGATTTTCTACTCCAGTGACCCTTTTACCAAAACTATGGTTTCAGGAGAGCTGGAAATCAAAATTGAGTTGGGATGATGAAATACCACAAGAATTGGCAAAGCAGTTTTTAAAGTGGCTTGACGAACTTCATTTGCTGAAAATTGTGAAAATTGCAAGATCTATATTGATTGATGATGACTCCTTAATAAGATTGCATACATTTTGTGATGCATCTGGTTTAGCTTATGCATCAGTTGTGCATATGAGGAGCAAGATTGAAAGAGAAGTGAAAATTCCATTAGTACTTGCCAAATCCAGAATGGCTCCATTAAAGAAAATGCCTATTCCAAGATTGGAATTGATGGCTTGCAGCATTAGTGTAAGACTATCTCTCTCTGTTAATAAAGCTTTGAATCTTACTAATACGAAATAATTTTTCTGGACAGATTCATTGACTGTGTTGCATTGGATTCATAACCAAGAACCCTTGACAGTATTTGTTCAAAATAGGGTTAAAGAATTAGAACATTTTTATTTTCAAATATACAAGACTGGAAATCCATACCTGTCTCAGAAAAGTCTGTAGATTTACCTTCAAGAGGTATACTGTAAAGAAATTAATTGACTCCCATAGGTGGAAGGGGCCATCCTGGCTGAAGAAGGAGGAAGATATCAATGGCTGAAACCTGACACATTGGTCAAACAAGAAGTATTTTCAGAAATGGAAAAGAAATCATTGACAATGTTAAATGCCACAACTGAAAAAGGTTCTTACATACTTTTCAAGGTGTAGAAAAATAATCAGATTGGTTGCACAGATTTAACGATTCTTGCATAACTCTCACAGAATTACGGAAAACAGACTGAATGGTGACTTATCCACAAAAGAACTTTTAGAATCAGAAAGAACATTGTTAATTTAGTTCAAAAAGAATATTTTACTAAACAATACTTATCTGGATTGAAATATATTTTTCATTTCAAAGGTCTTTCAGGAAAGGAGTCAGAGATTGTTCACGAAAATTGTAAGGAGAAAATCACCAGACGTAATCTAGACCATTATAATGTCTACTAAATTCAAGGACTATAACTTAGATTTTGTATTTTATAATATAATTTTCATATAATATCATTTATCAAAAGGTGAGAGAATGTTGCACCATTAATATGATTAAAAGTGTCATCTATTTATTATCTTTTTATATCTTAAGTTGTTCTTGAATTGGCAACACTGTTAATATATCTTTATAATAAGTTTGTTTTGAAAATATTTTAGTTCTGTAGTTAAGTAAAAAACAGAGTTCTTAAAAGAAACAGTTTGGATTTCTTTTGTCTTATCCAATAGCAACCTTTACAGAAAAGGCTCCAACTGGTGTCAAAGATTCCAAAGCCAGACTAATAATTTTAGCAAGTACAAATGCTGCAGGAATGCAGAAATATAGACTTTTCATAATTGGAAAAAAAATCATATCCTTAAGCATTTAAAGGAGTAAAGATTTTCTTCGTTATATATCCTGCAAATAAAAGAGCATGGATGACACAAGCGTTAACCCTTTGAAGACGGGATGGCCATTATAGTGGCCATAGAGTCCTCTCTTTGAAAAGACGGGGTTGTCCACTTTAGTGGCCATGTCTTTTTCCCCCATTTTCCAAGCTGAAAAGTGGGGTGAAATGTCAAATTTGATGTCCCTAGGGTTTTAACCACTCATCTCTTTCAAAGGTCTTCCTTTTGCAACATAGATACACCCCTCTGAGAATCCATTAAACTACACACAAGAATCTTTGTTGAAAATAGGAAGTGATTTCTTAAAGGGAGAAAGCATTCGGTTCAAGATTCCCCGTCCTTTAGTAGCTTTTACTGCTACCAAAGCCCAGGCCTCAAAAGGTTAATGAATGATTAATTTGAAATCATTTTATACCCGAATGCAAATATAAAGTAGCATTTTTAAAATACAATTTAAATTTCTTGAAAAATGGCAAGACTATTCACGAATTTTTGAAATATTTTAGTGCAAAATCTGCTGAGTGGAGCATAGTAAGACCGTGGGAGAATGCATTTCCAAATACTTTATAAAATGCCTGACATAATTTATGGCCAGCTATACCATATTTCATGATGGGGATGATGGAGATGATAGCTGTGAGTTTGAAGATTTTTGGATATTGCAAACCAAAGGTAAAATTATACAGTTATAAAGAAATGTAGAGAAGCAGTTACAAATGAAGATGATATAACAGAAATTTTCGTTGTGATTAATGCCCTGGTTATCAGTCAATTAACGGATGGCAAAATTTGTAGTATGGTTCTAGATCCAGTAAATACCACTACTGACAGTGAAGAAAATGACAGACACGTTACTGAAAACAAAAAAATTTCGACTGACAACTTAGTTAGAATTTTTGACACAGCAGTTACAGGACCTTGAACAATGGAACTTTGTGGCTGAAAAAAAAATATCTTTCTGTATTAAAGAGATATTAGCATAAAAAAGAAGCAATTTAAAGAACTTACATTGAAAGAAAAGTTTAATAAAGTAAATACTAAGCATTTTCCCCCTAAATTCTGATACCCTTTAGACCATAAATGCTTCATTATTTCGTAAATCATGATTTCATATTTTCTACATTCCATCTTATTTGATTTAAATTGATCGAATATCCAGAAACATCCCGAATTCAGAATATCTGAAGTCCCAACATGTCCGGATCTCGGACTTTGTACCGTAATTTTACTTCTTGGAAATTGAGAGTCAAAATTTACGCAATATATAACATTCCTGAAGCGATAAGCAAAAGGAAGAACAAATGCTCTTATGAAAATACATATTGATATTGCTGTATTTTTCATTTCAAAGAAATGCTATAGTTATTATTTTCATTTTACTTATGTAATGTGTTCTGTTACCTGTTTATACCTTATTTGATATTACCACAAAATAATAAAATTACATGCTGAAAATGTGGGGGGATAGAACAAATAAGAAATATATGAATAAATATGGTATAAAATAGAGCTAAATAAAAAGAAAAAAATATTTTCCCCCCATGACGTGTTTGAAAACAATCTTTATATACCAAGTTTCTGTGCCTGTAATCTCTTCCCTGACAGAAATCACATTTTCCTCTATGAAATATTTTATGGAAACCTACTTATTATACAAAAGCAGATCATGGTGTAACCAACCACTTTTTAAAACTGCTAAACATTTTTAAAAACTGTTTAAAAAAACAATTTAAAAAAATGAATAAATTACATTAGTAAAAAATATGAAAATACAAATTTTGTTTATCTTATTTCACATTTTTTAACATCAAGAAATAACAGAAATAAATATATAATTCTAACTGCATACCAGCAGTTAACCTTTAATAACTGCAATAGGTCTTAATTTAATACATTTCTTGCTAATACCAGCTTCATGACAAGAATCTACAACATCAGTAACATTTTTATAAGAATCTGGAGCTTCTTCCATGACTAACTTGGGAGAAGCTACTCTAATTGAGATTCCTTTGTCAGCCAGCTCATTTAAAACATCAATATAATCCAGGTTTCTACGAGATTTTGCCCTAGATAAAGCTCGTCCTGCACCATGGCATGTAGTTCCAAATGTTTCTTGCATTCCCATTTCAGTTCCAGTTAATACATAACTGCATGTTCCCATAGTTCCACCAATAAGTACAGGTTGTCCAGTAAGCTACAAAAATCAAATAACCTTTTCACAATGCAAAATACTACAGCAAAGAGTTTTCATTTACTATTTAACAATAGTTATAATTCCTGAGCATCAACTGTTTTCCTTAGTCACAGTAATGTGATTATGTCTTAATAATATAATTAATTATAAATACTATAACCTTAAATTTAGGAAATGTTTCTCTTGATCTTCACACACAAATGAAATTAAATATTCGTGCGATGGAAATTTTCTGATAAAGAATATCAAGACAATTTCCAATGAAGATGTTTTGAAAAAAAAATGCTTTATGAAAGACATAATTATATCTTGTTAAATTATATAAAACTCAAACCTATTCAATACAGACACAAAACAATTTTCTTACAAAAATTTATCCAATGAATTATTATGCATAAAATAACAACATAAAAGGATGTACAAAGCATATTATATAATAAATATCAAACTGAGTTAAAATAACATGCCAAATAATGACTATTGGAGGATTTAAAGAATTAGCATAATATCCATAAATTTGTAGGACTAGTTTTGAAGGTTTAAATACAGAACTTTTGAAACTAGTTCTGCAAATATAATGAATTTTATGCCAATTCTTGTTGCTTCAACGCTCCAAAAAAATATCAGATTAGTTAGTATAAACTTTTAATTTTTCGATTTTAAGAAGCTAAAATATTTTTTACATAACTACCACTGAAAATATATTTCCAACATTAATCTTTAAATTCCAGTCCACAAAAACTGCCCTGCTTTCTAATATTTTCTGTTTTTTCTCTTTGTAACTAGTTTGAGAAAGGAATTGCTGTTAAAAATAAAATGGAGATATAGTTTAAACTAAAGCAGTGCCCTTCAGTGATAGGGAACTGAATAATAAAATAACGGTATAAAAAGTCTGAAATAGGAATTTAGTTATTTGACCTTTCATATGCAAAGGAGCAATTTAATTTCCATATACAAACAATCCTGAAATTTGAATAACAATATTAAAAAAAAAAACTTTATGTTCCTTATAATGCAAAAATGTACTGATAAAATCATAAATAAAACTTTCTTGACTTATTTAAATATACAAAGATGTATTAAAATTTGAAATTATATACGGCTTCCAGATCACTCCAGACAATGATATTTGTTGCCTTCTAATTCTTTAAAATACATAATATGTTTTAATTAAATGTTTTATCAATACAAATTTGGATTTAATTTTAAAAAAAATTTTAACGTGCAGCCATCTTGTAAACTTGATTTAGGCATGGAAGTTGAATTGGGTACGACTTTCTGACTCTCTGTCTCATAGTTCTTTTTAAATATATGCGTGCATTTAAAATCATCACTACCTCACAGGCTTAAATCGTTAACTGAACAATCAATTTTATTTTCCAACCTTGACAGCAGAGGATTCAGATAACTTTCTAATGTTTTTTTAACAAACCAAAGAATTTAACTATGGTCACTTTTAATAAACCATTTTAAAAGAAATATATATAAAGAAAGATTAAATTACATTTTCACATATGGATGTACTCTGATGACAAGATGCAATTTATTCTGAGAAATTAACATTTAAATACAAAAATATTAGAAATTAATACTTAAAAAATCCCAAGGAGTTAAATATTGTAATGTAAAATTTGAAATCCAAAAGGAAATCTAAAAATGACTTTAGATGTTTTATACAAACCTGATAATCAACTGGTATAAGCGGATGGTGAGGTGGAAAAGCTCTTGTTGAACCTTTTCTGTGAACTAATAAAGTTCTTTCTTTTCCATCAATGTAATGTTTTTCAATTTTGGCAATATTATGCGACACATCATATATAACATGCATATCTAAATCATCTGGCGTGGTGTTATATGCTTTTGCAAAGGCCTGAAAAATATACTTTTTCAGAAACACTAGGAAACAGAATACTTATATGAAGAAAAAAATATTCATCTATATAAACATTCAGCCATTTTCTCTGCAACAAAGAAAACACACAGCATGTGCTTTTTATTAACTCTCTGAGCGGCCAGGGTTTTCGCTAAGAAAGCACAAATTTCCCAAAACTATTATGAGAACATATTTTTTTTTTATTTTAATGTGAAAACTCTGCTGGTATTTCCTACCCGGATTTGTATACTTTCGATATACTGCCTTAATTTCTTTGACATATTTTAATATACACGTATATTTACGTTTGTACAGTGCCGCTTAGAGGGTTAATGTAATTTATTATACAATTTTATACTTTAAAAACTTAAAGTACAAAATTGTACTTTAAAAACTTATTCTGAGCATAAGTGTTATACTTAAAAACTTATTCTGAGAATATGTGTTTAACAAACAAAATAAATTACAGCAATAGAAGCAATAGTCAAATCTCATTTATTGTGCATTTGTAACCAAATTACATTTCTTTTGAAACAGCTACACAATTCTGAAATAAACTTTACAATTTTTTAATATCCTTATAAGATTGTAAAATAACTTAAATATTAGTCTGTGTCCATTACTTTCACATATAGAGTAAAGCTTAAATATTTCCTATCTAATACATCTTTACTCAATTTTTGAATTTTTTAAAATTAAAATATACAAAGCTGGACTTATTTTAAAATTTTCAAAGCATTTTTAGAGATTTTTCATAAGGGTTTTCTTGCTAATACTTAAATAAAGTTATACAATAAGAAACATCAGTTACTGGAAATAAAATCAACTTACCTGTCTGCTCAAAAATGTCATGCTGGATCTATTCACCCAAGCAAAGTTTGCAGCCGCTGCCATAGATTTAAGATAATCTTGACCCTCTTGTGAATTAATGTGTGCACAGGCTAACTGCCGATCATTAACTTCAATCTGATCTCGTTTCATAGCTTTTTCCATTGCCACAAGAGCATCTGTCATAGTTAAAAATGTCACGAAAAAAAAAATAAACATTTGATAAAAGAAGATAAGTCTATACATACATTTGAATTTAAAAAATAATAATTTAAGTAATGGCTTTGTACTGAAATTGTTTTATCTCATATGAGCCCCCTAAAAATTTAAAAACTGCATTCCAATGAGCTCACACTTTTGAACTAATGATTAGCTTATATAATAATAATGTAATGCTCAAGTGATTCAAAGAATCAGCTATCAAATGGGATCAGAAATAAAGTAATTTTCAGATTTTACAAATGAAGATTATTAAGAGCAGGGGGGGAATTCACTGAAATTTCGCTATTTTAGTACGAGTGAAATATCTGTAAAAATCTGAAAAGCTTCATATCCAGTGGAAATAATGTCTGATGTATTATAAAATACAATAAGAAAAACACAAATGGTTTATCATCAGTCTTACCATTTATACAGCAGATAAATATTTAATAATGTAGTAATAGTGAAGTAATTTTACCAGAAACTTTTCTATTACATCATGAAGCATGATTCACATATTATTGCATATGTAATCACACTGCTCTACTACTGATCGCTCTACCAAGCTACTACTGATTACTTCCTCAAATTTCATAAAATATTAAAAAAACTCATTATTCTACATCGGTCTGCATCTAGATGATGCAGCGTGCTTTGGAAAGTCAAGGAAGACAAAAGTGCTGGTCATTCCAAACAACAAGAAAACACTTTATTGTAGCACATGAAACACACACATGGACACATTCAACAACAAAAATATTTTTTCATGTTCCAAACTAAAGACCAACTCTGATTCTCACACATTCTAGAAGCTGAAGTCACTCTATAACAGCTTCAATTCACAACCAAGCAAAGGCAAAAAAATCAGGGATGATTCAATAATGTTTCCTTCTTTCATTTTCACATACTCTTTTAATGCAGCTGATGTGAAACTTTGTCAAAACAAATAATCAAAGCACAAGCACACAAAAACAAATCTTCCAAATGACCATTTTTATTTTATTTAACAACTACCATGGTAACAAGAAACACACCATGTTTACTCGTATAATAGTCACACTGCTTTTGCCAATTTTTCAATGTGAAAGTCCAAGTGCGACTATTATGCAGAGAAATCTACAACGCAATATTATACATGCTAATGCTAAAACATTACTGAATAAAAAATACATTATAATAAAATTAGTAACTTACCAAATGTTTCCAGATTATGTACTGTTTATTAAATAGTCTTTTTGTCAGTTGCACACAAAAAAAGCATTTTTCCTTTAAAGGTAATATTTTTATAGACATAAAATTCACAAATAATCTTTGGGAAAATTCTGACAAAAAATTCTAATAACATAATGCATAATAAATCACTTTCACTGAAGGCACCAGTATCACTGCTGTAATGTGAATCAGTGTCTGAAGAATCTCCATCATTCCATACATGTCATCTTCACTTCCGTCCAAAGCATCGGAGATACTGCACATCCATCATTTTTTAATGCACAAACATAAGAAAGCAGTTCATTTTCTATCATTGAGAAATATCCATGGAATGCCCACCTATTTACATTTGTTTCTTGTAGCCACTGTTTGGATTTTCTCCAGTCCCTTATTAATTGTTCACTTACATTCCATTCTCTTCAGAATATACAATAATCTTCCATTGAAATCCTGCTATATAACTATTATGCTCTCTAAACTTTCCCATAGTCAAGCAAAAAAAAATTTTAAAAATAAATAGATAAATAAATAAATAAAAGTCCAAAACACACTACCACGAAATTCACTGCAAAGCAAAATATTGGCAAAGATGCTTTTTCTATAGCTTAGATATGTGCAGCCCATTAAATTTAAATCCAGTGTATACTTTCTTTAACGAAAAACGAACTGTAAACTTTAAAATGAGGTGGAGGGGAATAAGAAATCCTGTTCAGGGTGTTTTCTAGGGGAAACAGGCAATTCCTTATCTCGCTATGGAGTGACCACTGAGAATGTCAATGAGAGTGCCAAATAGATGAATCCATTAGTTCTGGGAAGAGTACAGCTGATGATTTTCTGTTTTCTACATGAAGGTCAAATACACAACTGCGACTTTTATGAAGGGGAAATATTTTGACGATTTTTTCTGCTTTAAAATAGCAGTGCAACTATTGCCAGTACACACAGTATTTTCATACGCTACTTTGCAGCAGCACAGGTGCAACTCTCAGAGCATCGGAGTGCGCAGTGCAGCATAAATACATAAATTTTAGACATACCCCACCTTGTTAAGAGTATACTAAATATAAATAAGAGATCAAATATAATGCAAATTACTTAATAAGTATAACACAAAATATCACAATACAAATAATTCTATAAGTATGAGGATAATACTAAATATACTACATAATACTACACTAAATAATACCACAAGTATACAAATAATTTGCACTGTACTTAATGACACTGGTTATACATAAGACAGTATTAATGGAGAAATACCATATAATTAAATAACTGAATTATTAGGTGGATAAATTAACTTGATTGGTCGTTTATATTGTCCATTCAAATAAGGTGCTAATGTACGTCTTCATCATGGCCAGTAAAAACCTCTTTGACAATACTAAGTGGCCTTAGAAATTTTGATTTAGTGGTTCCTTAAAGCAAAACTACATCTCCTCTAGATCCTTCCTTTCCTTGTAATCGGTTTACAAAATTATTGGCATTTCCCTATGGCATCAAATAATTTATCTTTCCATTTTACTCAGAGTTGACATAAAAGTCAAGTCATACATTTTTTGAAGCGTCAAATTTTCTTATGTAGAAATTTCATTGCCAAAATTTCAACAAAATGTAGAGGATTGCTAATATTTTCTTAACCATGAAGCAAAAAAAATGGGCTGAAGTAAGAGGTTTATATTCATCTAACTTATTGCTTACATAGGTAAGGCGGCTATGATTTAATATCAATTTAATATCGGAAAAAATGGTTGTCATTTCCTCAAAGCAAAGACAAGCTTTTCCAAGGATTTTCTTTAAAGGTTCTTTTATACTTTTCATGAGTCTTATAGCAGCCACCTTGCCATGGGGCATGAGAGGCAAGAAACTGCCATGTTATTTCATGCACTGTAACAAAATTGTTTTAGGTTTGAACCAGCCACAGTTTGAAAAAAAAAAAAAAAAAAAAAAAAAAAAAAAACATTCAAAATTTTATCTGTGGTTTTAAAACTGTTAACATTATCAAAAATGAAGACCTTACAATTCCTCCTTTCAGCCAAAAAATATCTTAAGGGCAAATTCAAACTTTTTGTCAACATATCAGCAATCAATTCAAAATGAAGTGCTGTGGTAACTCCACATGTAAACAAGGCTATATGTAAGACTGCTGCTGAGCATCCTTTCCCAGAAGAATACAGACTAGATCAGTGAAATCTACTCCAGATACAGTAAATGGGGGGAATTTTCCAGTATTCAGTCATTTGGCAGTTGAGCTGTTATTTGTTTAGCAGGTTTAGAAGGCCAATACCCTAATACTTCCAAATGCAGCAGTGCGAAAGATTTCAGAGGGGTGACTATATGCTTGGAACACATAAAACTAGTACTAACTCTATTGTCTCCAGTGGTTACAATATAGGGCACCTCCCTTTTTATCTGTTAACTAAGTGTGGAGAAACCTAGTGAACTACTATGCAAATAATCGCTTAAGTCCAGAACCAGAAACAAAACATAAAACTCAAGAAGGGTTAATAACCCTTTGTAGCTAAAATAAAGATTGACAGATGGTCCCTTTCTCAGGACATACAACAAAGCCTCCACTTGGGCTTAAAAATGTAAGAAATAAGAACTTAACTAATGACTGAATAAAGAGATTTAGCCAAGGCTAACACAATTTCTAATTAGTTGGCCCAAAATATCACATTAGCTAGCGAAGCTATAGAGGGCATGTAATATGGCCAAGTGTAGTAACAGTTTATAAGAGATTTAGCCGAGGCTAACACAATTTCTAACTAGTTGGCCTATAATATTACATTAGCTAGCAAAGCTATAAAGAGCATGTAATACGGCCAAGTGTAGTAACAGCTTGTAAAGACATAGCCAAAAAGGCAAACATGCGCTATTCAGAAAATCTATTTTCACCAAAGTCAGTGAACTTATACATTCTCTAGGACTCATTTCCATTTAACGAGATTCTAAAAACTAATTCTGGTAAGGAATTGTAAGCTGAAGCTAGAAGAGAAAGGAAAGGAGCTTTAACTTAACTGTTATAAAATTAAGATATAGCTCACAACTCTTCAAATAAACTATTGACGCATATCGCATCACAGATGCACCTGAAAATGAATGAATACCAAATAAAATAAAATGACATAAATTGAATTCAGGAAGATATCATCAAGGAACTGAAACATTGTTCAACTCCGCTGCACCACAACTGCTGTTTGTAATCCAGTGAAGATGGGATGTCTTTGTTATGCTGCACTAGTTTGTTCGCGGAAGCGTTTTTTCCCACGTGCTTCGTTTGCTGTTTTGAGCTTACAGGTGATTCTATGCTGTTTTCCCATCATACCGGATTTACTTGTATGTGGATTACTTCTATATTGTGTGACATTTGTGTGCAGTGAATAGTGAAATCTTCGCCAAGGATTAACGACCACGCGCTATGGTGGGGAACAAACTCCCTATGGCTAAAATGGATACATCTGTGGCTCGGAATCATGTGCTAGAGTTAACGGACGAAATGTATCACTTTGGGAATAAATATCTAGGATGTAATTGGAGTGCATTGATAAATGCAAAATCATTAATATTAGAGGACTACCTGTGTGTGTTACAAAACATTGAAAAGTTAAAAAGTAGGATTACGCTGATCGACATGGACTTGGAAATTATGAGCAATTCTGAACGTGCTGAACAGCATACCCATTTTCTTTGGAACTTGTATACCAGGGAACGTGGATTCGCCAAGGAACAGTTAAGCATTTATAAGGGTAAATGTGAGTTT